TTTAAGCTTGTAAAATTACTACATACAGGGTGCTAGAGAACTAGCATCCCAGAGAAAAATGCCAAGTAAGATAAGATACCAGGAACACGGAAAAATGTTTAAATTCTGACATTTATTTTTTTACATTTGATATTTTTATGTCTATTTATTTTTACCGATTATCTTGTAAATATGTACATGGTTTTTCATCATTATTCAGTAAAAGTACAAAAACAAGCCACCAAAAACGTTAAATAGTTAATTCAGGATATAGCCTAAAGCAAAAAACATGTGCAAAATTCAAACCCCCTAACATAAAACTTTTTAATGATAGAATTATTAACCTTTTTTTCCATGTTCCTGGTGTCTTTTACTTGGCATTTTCTGAGGCGCGAATTCTGAAACACCCTGTATTTTATTTTGAATAATTTAAAAAACTATAAATCTCTCGTTTTCATTAGGTGATTTATTGACCTCACACTTTGCCAAAAATTGAACAAAAAGTTGTTTTAAACAACAAAATATTCTTATTTTGTTAAGTAGGAAACAATTTACAACAACAAAGCCAAATATTGTCAATAAATAACAAAGCCAACTGCTACTAAAGTTGCAAAATTACCATTGAATATTTTAGCAAATATTGTAACCCTCAATTTCCGCTAATTCAGTTAATTAAATTCTGAATTAATTCTAAAAAAGTTCTAAAAACTGTTCGAATCATCAAAATTCAGAGAAACAATAATAATCATTAATTATACTAAAAGTCATGTTTCGGCACCCTTGCGCCATCATCAGCGATTGAAAATTGTTACTTTTAAAAAAAATTCCTGATTATCACAAATGGAAAAATATACAGAAGGAATAGGATTTAAACATTATTCCTCTGAAAAAAAAATAAAAGGACGAAGTCAGTGAAGCTGAAGCCTCGCCCGTGAAAACTTTTGAAGCTTCTGTATATTTTTCCATTTGTGATAATCATGAAAAACTTAACAGTGAACATTTAAATTTTTTAATCTTGTAATATTTTTATTTTAAAGTGTAAAAATTTTCAATGGCTGATGATGGCGCAAAGGTGCCGAAACATAAATAAAATTTATCGATTTGTGGAGTTGACTTTAATATTACTTACTGTTTAAAACTATAAAACATCCACTTTTGGAAGAAAATGGATCGAGTTTTACAATTAAAAAAAATGGTATTTAAGCTTGTAAAATTACTACATACAGGGTGCTAGAGAACTAGCATCCCAGAGAAAAATGCCAAGTAAGATAAGATACCAGG